ATTTAATGTCGTCAGATAAAAAAGCATTTTTTGTTGCCAACGCTTGAAATCTGACCCATTAAACTTTTCTGGTTTTTCCCCGGTCGTATTCGGGAGTGTGGTACCAGAAGTTGCCATTTCTGAATGCAATCAGAAGATTAACGATAAGAAGGAGTAGAAACAGAAACAAATAATAATTGAAAAAACAAATTCGTTTTAAGATTGTTGTTTCTAGAGTTTGAATTCACTCCTTCGAAAACAATCGGACAGAATTACCTGAATGCAGGAATTGATCAACAGGATCCAAAATTGTAATTCGAGCCCACCGACTTCACGATGTGTCCTTAAAACGAATTTGCTGCCTTCAATGGTGCTAAAGGCGTCCAGCAATCGTTTCCCAGGATAGAACGAATTTTTCGTCTCCTACGGAAGCAGCACTGCAGTCTGTAGGAGTTCCAACGAACTCAACGAAGTGTTTTTTACTTCGAGACAATATCAGAACGAGAGAGAGAGGGAAATGAGATTCAAAGCACAGAAAGTTTGCAATGAAAATGGTGTAAATTTTCTAGTAGAAAGGCTGGCTATTTATAGACTTGTTCGTGGCCATTCGAACAGTCATCACCTTTCCGACAGGCCTCAAAAATTCGAACAGACATACTGTTCTTAAAAGTCGTGTCTGTTAAGTCGGTTAACAGTCGACTGTTTGGTCGGTAAACAGTCGACTGTTAAAATGAAAATAAAACACCCGGAATAAGCCAAAATTTAAATTTCATTTTGTACCCAAAATTTAAACAGTCGTCTGTGCTCGTGCCGAGCCGGCCGGTCGGACGGACGGCGGCGGCGGCGCGCGCGTGTGGGTTTATGACCAAACCCAATAGGATAAAGGTCTTCCCCCTTTCAAAGACTATTGGTACCCCTTGGGGCCCAAACCCAATTCCAAACTTCCACCTTATAAACCACACCAAAGTTTCCTAACTTTCCTATGTGGGATAAGTGTTTGGTAAATCAAATTCTTCCATAATCCTTAGTTTATGTGGGTTACTTTAACACTTAATATTTCATTCAATTTTAAATGGTTTTCGATAAATAAATATATCACGTTAATCATCTCGCGGAGTAGAATGTGAATATGCTAGGTCCCGTATTATTTAAAAGGTGGGTCCCACTGAAATTTGGGCTCAAAGTTGACCCAATGTTGACCCATTAAACCATTTTTTTCCAACAGAATCGACTATCAAAAAGATATCCGAGATCTAGACAAGTATCTCATTGTAAAATCCAAAAAGATTATCCAACCACAACCCTTAGAAAATAAATTTTAGTGTGTCTCAAAGAAATTAAAGTTACTTAAGGTGAAACGGTGAATAGATGTTTTCATGTCCAAATCCATTATAAGAATGACATTATATTTCTAGGTTTGATTAGGGAATACCGAATACATTGGTCTAAGACGTAGTTTCACGGTTAGAATGTCGGATTTCAAACTAGTTTAAAGACAATAATGGCCCTTTTTTTATTCAATATTTAATTTAATTCTATTCTTTACCCCTCAATAGAATTTCTCTACATTATAATATTTCACAAATAATTCCACGTTCTCCCAATTCGAAAGTACCCTTTTTTTTTTTTTAAAGCTTTCAGTGCCACTCCTTTTCACTATGAATTATTTAACATTCATGAATCAATTCACAATCAAATGATACGGACAAGACATATAACATTTCCTCATAAATTTTAATATCATGTTCAGCAAGTCTGAGAGCATGTCCAGTGATTTATATGAATAGTCATCTAAATGTTATAAAACTAGAAAAATTTATGGTCTGCGTTAAATACATAAATAGTTAATTAAGGTGCTTAAAATTTGTATCTAATGGGTTCTGCAATCTGCATGCAACTACAACATTGAGGTCTGGATGTCTTTAATTTTCATAAAACAAAAATAAATCACATATAATGATGCATAGAAAATATAATTATCATTGAGTCACTCTATCTAACTTATATTCTGAATCTAGATAGAGTTCTTGATATTTATATTTTCATATAAATTTGACAGAATTCTTATCAGATTGAATATTTTTTAGAATCAATATTGGAGATCCTCTATAGTTTTTTAAGCCCATGTAAAGGGAAAAATAAAAATAAAAATTAAGCCATAATTATTGTATGTATTTTGGTCCCCATTGAGAGCTGTACCTGGTTTTTGGCCCCACATTGGACACGTTTGGGTTGGTAGTGAAGTATTAGTATCAAACCATTCAATGGTATATTACAAAATAATTAATAAATCCAAAAAAAAAAAAAAAAAAAAAAAAAGAAAAGAAAATTAAAAAAAAATAAAAAAAAAAAAAAAAAAAAAAAAAAAAAAAAGGTTATCTATCCCTACTATCATATAAATAAATATCCTTGCTCCATTGGGTATAAATATCCAATCGAATTTTCTTCAATTCCAAGCATCTATTAGCTTCATTATTTTCAATATAACAACAAAACACTTCTCCTCAATCTTCTTCACAGAAATTCCCAAAAAATGGAGAAAATGGAGCCTGTTGGAACCTTTTTTGATGAAGAATGGGAATCATTGAGCAGAATGTTTTCCAGTGAAGAATCTGATCTCACGCTGCATTTGCATGGCAGTGAGTTGTTTTCGAATCAAGTCGTAAACGGGCTGTGCTCGGAACTCCCATCAAATTTCTTGGATAATACAGAAGAAAATGTGGCTGCTGGAATTGATGATACTGTATCATTTACTTTTGATCATACTCTTGACACGACTAACTTTCATTATCTTTCTCAAGAAAATAGGAATAGCAGCACTGAAATTGGCAAATTGTTTTTTCCAAATCAAGAAAATGCAGTTAATTTTCCTGATCAGTTGACCCGTTTTTGTATGACGGATTGCAAAAATGATCAAAACTTTCCGGTCAGTTTTCCTGAAGATCATGTGGTGGAAGACATTCTGTTTATTAAAGAAGATATGGACAGTGGCCAAATGGGGAAGGCAAAAAGTCAGCCTGCAGAAATTGGTGATTCTGTCAAGGAAATGCAGTTCAAGAGGAAGTCTGACACACCAGAAGAAACACTGGACGAAAATTATCCCAACAAGAAATCTAGGGTTTCTAGAGATGTGAGGAAAATGAATTTTACTCCCTTTATATTTTCTATTTATATTTGTTAATAGTTACTTACTGATTAATTAATAAATGCAGGCATCAAGAAACAAACGGTGGATTGCTCAGAGGAAGAGGAAGAAGAACGTTAATCAAAACAGTACTGATGAACTAGAAGAGAATAATGGTGGGGAAAATGGAAAGAGTTCTAGTAGTTACTGCTATGAGGATGATTGTAATGGTTCTCAAGAGCTCAATGGAAGGGAAAATTCAGAATCCAAAGGCTCAGCCACTGTGAAATCAAATGGGAAAGCAAGAGCCAGTAGGGGTTCTGCAACTGATCCCCAAAGTCTTTATGCAAGGGTACATACCGTTAAAACTTGACCAACTCGAATAATCTTATATACATTTTCAAGGGGTCATTCGAGCATGTGCGCGTCTAATATGATTTTATGAAATTTTGCAGAGAAGAAGAGAAAGGATTAATGAGAGATTGAGAATCTTGCAGAATCTTGTCCCAAATGGAACAAAGGTAAAACATTAACTCATACTAATCAATTCTACCAAATGCTGTGCTCTAAATCAAGGAATATTTTAAAATTCGGCATAATTGTGTTTTCAAAATGGACTGCACTATCAGGTTGATATTAGCACAATGCTCGAAGAGGCCGTCCATTACGTCAAGTTTTTACAGCTTCAAATTAAGGTATGGGAAAAAATGTATCAGTAATCATCTTTCAACTCTTAATGTCACCCAATAATTTTAGTTCATGTTATGTACATAATATATGACAGGCTTGTACAATAAAAGGGAAAGATTTAGTCTCTTTTTCTTAAATAATATTGTCCATTAACTAGTGAAGGAAATTAATAATTGTTTTTGCACGTCAAGTTTACAAGGATACTTCCACTAAATATGTATTTATTCTTTGCAGTTATTGAGCTCTGATGATATGTGGATGTATGCTTCTATTGCTTACAATGGAATGGGTATTGGCATTTATGAGAATCATTCATACTAGTTACTACTCGATGGAGACAGAGTTCTATACGAGTATCGAAGATAGAGACTCTTTGTCAAAATTTTCTGCAAGGAGATTATATCGAATGTAAATTTTATAATGTACACAGCATAATCTACATTCATTACCTTGTTTCTGAGTATGTTGGTGAGATGTTAATAACTACGAAGCAGCTAATAGATCTTAGAAGATATAATTTTAAGAGAGTGGAGAGAAAGATATGAGCCTATAGTTCTTAGAGTATAAAATAGAAGCTAAAGCCGTGTCTTTAATGCATATCATGAGGCAAGCAAACACTAATAGAATTCAAATTTTATTAAGAATTGAGATTTCATGTTAAAAGACCAACCTTGTTGAGAAGTCTCTATTTCATTATTTAACCGATGTAATATTTATCTTTTAAAATGCACTTGTAAGATGGCGGATCGTTTGAACAGTCTAATCTTGAAATTTGTGTTTTCGTTTTGAATCCTAATGTACTCTAATGCCATATTGAACTAATCAATATAAAAGTTTAAAATGTTAGACATGACCAAATCTAGTCATTTAAATATTAACTTCAATGCCCTTCACGTGTATGTAGGATTATTTTTCTCCAATAAAGCTAATAAATGGGTACGATGACACTTGAAATTAGAAACTTTGCAAGCTCTCGTACTAATTTCAAAATTTGGAGTTTCATGAAACAGTTAATTCAAATAATTATATATTGGTCTATATTTCGATATTTAAGCAATGTAGGATTTATCAGTCAACAATACTTTTCTAAGTGAGGTGAGTTGAGGGAAATTACCAAGAAGAGCTCAAATAAAAAAGATATCTTTTGTTTGAAAGAAATTGTGTCAAATGGACTATTTGAATTTTTCCACTATAAAGAATATGCCTTCTTTTTCTAATTATATAAATACTAGTTTTAATAAGTATTAATTTTTCCCCCTTTAAAACTAAGTATGAAGAATATATTGTCTTAGATAAATATTTAATAGTATGACATGTTATAAAAGTAAGAATAAATATTTGCTTGACGGGCATCATAAATGGTGCTCATTATAGCAATAAGGCTATTCAGCCAGGGACAAAAAGAGATTAAAAAAAAGGGGTTTGAAATTGCTTACGTGTCATATAAAATACAATAAAAAATAAGACAAAAAGGCATAAGAAATACAAACATAAAAAAAATGAAAGCCGGCTGAATGAGGCCCGAAACCCAACTTTCCGAACCCGGCTGCTTCTCTCTCCAGAAAAAGACCCGAAATCCCCAACGCTCCCCCTCCGCCGTCTTCTGCTCCGTCGTCGCCTGTCGCACCTTCTCCTACCGTCGCCCAAACCCTGTACAGATTACTTCAATTTCAGCCATCACTATTGCTTATATAAAAGATTTTTCACATCATCCAATTCACAAGGAAGAAATTTGTTTATTTTACCCGGAATTGGATCCGAAATAACTCCTAAAAGTTTAAGGTTTGCTTTAGCTTAAACAAATGGAATGCTTTCATCATTGCAATCAATGTACAGATTATCCACAACACGCCCTGCAAAGGATAAAATCAGTTCAAGGTTTTTGAAAGAGATTTCTGGAGATGGTTTGATCTTTCCAAGTATGTGATTTTTCTGTTTGATGGATAGAAATAAACAAGTGGCATAAAAAAGGAGGCGCTAATTGATCAAGAAATGAAAGCAGGTGTTTTATAAGGAAATCTGGGTTGGAGAAGAAGGCTTAATGTTTTCTGTGCAGATTACTTCAATTTCAGCCATCACTATTGCTTATATAAAAGCAACTTTTGGGGGTTTTTCGCTCTATGATTTCATGAAGATTGTAAACTTTATATATATCTACACATTCATATATTACATATAGTAATAAGATGTAGATTTCTTTCTTAAGTGTTTTTTCATGCAAATGTTTGACCATCTATCTTTTGTGCCATTTGGAGCCGGTGTTGAAAATTATCTGCTGTTGATATGATAATTATCTTTTGCTCTCTCTCATCTCTGTATATTCATACGGTGATATTGCCTCAAACGGGAGGGTTTGGGCGACGGTGGGAGAAGGAGTGAAGGTCGACGAAAGAGCAGCCCAACGGCGGAGGGGAGGGTCGTGGATTTTGGGTCTTCTTATGGAGAGAGAAGCAGCAGGGTTTGGAAATAGAGATTTCGGATCTCATTTGGCCAGTTTTCATTTTTTTATGTTTGTATTTCTTATGCCCTTTTTACTTTTTTTTTTTTTTTTAATTATTGTATTTCATGTGTCATGTAGCCAATTTTCAAACCCTATTTTTTAACCTGTTTTTTGTCCCTGACTGAGTAGCTTTATTGTATGATCAATAGTGGGCAAGATGGAGGTCATCAATTTACACTAAATTCAAACATAGTGGTCCCACAAATGGAGAAAATGAGAAATTAGTGGGGGCCAAAGGGACGCATACTAAAATACGTAGAAATAGCGATAAACCAATTTGATAGTAATTATATATAAAAATAGCAATACATCAACCTGTTTATGTGAATAGAAACAATATATGACATACATTGATTGCACGCCGTGAAAAGCTATAATTTATGGCGAACTTTCTTACATGCCGTAAAAAGTTTTCATGAGTAACAGTGGGAATTTTCCTCCCCATTTTTCGTGCATATCAATTTTTTTCCTAAAATTTTCTTTTCTTTTCCTTCTTTAATTTTTTTTCCCGTTTTTCCTTTTATTTTTCTTGTCTTTTCTTTTTCTTCCATCCCTACTTTTTCTTCCTTTTCCGTTTCTTTCTTTTTCCTATCCTTTTTGTTTCTTTACTTTCATCTCCACCTATCCTAATTGATTTCCTTTACAATTTAAGTCGGTGGCATCGTCATCAATCAACTGTCCATTGCAGTAAAACCCTTTTATCCTTTTTGCCAAAACCCTTTTCTTCCCCTTCTCCACCCAATCAATCACCTCTACGATTAGAAATCAGATTGCACACCAGCATCTGTTGATTTTGGTGCTGGGTGTGGAGCGTTTTTGATCTATGAGAAAAGGGATTGGAATAAATCAATGGCCATGAACGTGTTTCTTGATTTACTCAAGCTACTATCTTATTTCTTTAATTACATTTAGAAAATAATAATATTTCTTATTTTTGCTAGAAATTCAATTCTTTGGGTCTTGGGACGTGGGTTTGAACCTTTTTGTACATGGTTAAATGGTTGTTGAAGATATTGACATATCACTTAATGCCTGAAGTATTTAATTTTGTTGGCAGGTTTTGCTTACGGGGTATTCTGTTCGTGCATGGTTGAATGAAATTGTAAATATTTTAATAAGATATATAATACAATCTTGGGCTTTGCTATGGTGACAGGGCTGTCACGGCCCCTATTTGTTTATCAAAGCCCTACAGTCTTTAACCATGCTCACAATTCAGATAACATTAAATCTCGAATAGGAAATTGCTTGATATTTCTCGTGTGATGAAGAAATTTGGAATTTGAATTTTTTCTACCTTAATTTCTGACTTTTCAAATCTTTGTAGCGAAAATGATCTTGATTTATTAACTCAAACCTATGGATAGGAATTTATTTAAATTATTCAGGTAGATCTTCTAGGCTATCATTTCGACGTCCAAAAACTGCATTCAACAAGCCACAGCCTGATAGTTTCTCAAGCAAGATTTATCCCATATATTCGTCAAAGCTCACTTCAAAAATTTTCTAAACAATATTTTCCAAGCTTATTACATTACTTTCTCTATCAAACAACCAATCCAAACGGTTTCGACCATAATAATAATTTTAAATTGCTTCTCAATCACACCTACAAAGGACAAGATAATGATGTTGATTTGCCAACTACAATGGCAACGAGAAAAACAATGACAGAGGCACAAAGTAGAAGAAACGAAACGATAAGAAAACGCTAATTTTTGGAACACATAGTGACACGCCCTGCTCCGAGTAACAATTCTAGACTCGGAATGTGACGTGCGCTAATAATAGATACCAACTAAAAGTCGGACCCAATATTAAAGCTACTACAACTACAATATGCAACTTTTTATAATTTATTTTTAATAGAACTTCAGCATTATCTCCTTTGTAAACAGGACTCATTGACTTATAATTCATAATGCACAAATCCCAAATATCACACAATACAATAAGGATAAGCTGAAATCTCAAAATTTACCAAGACAATAATATTAAATGTACATATGGATACAGATACATAGTTAGTCTCATAACTCTCTACAAGTGATGCAAAATCACATCTAAACTTGAACATGCGTTCGAAAACAATGATTACATGTTCTTTGAAGTGAGTCATACCAGCAAACCCTGTTGTGTGGCTTTAACTCTAAAATCAAATGCTGAGTTTCAAAAGGTGCCCAGATCCTCAATCGCTATCTGATAAGAAAAACGTGAGAAAATATATGAATTAATAGTTTAATGAGTGGAGAAGTTCGAAAATAATTATACTTTTTTCATTTTATATTCTTATCGAAAATCGAATTCATATCATTGAATAATTCACCAGATAACATTATATAGTTATAGCCAAAACGTGAGACATTCACATAACGTCATAAAATATAACACATTGAGCTTAACAAGCGCAACACCTAACTCTAATTTAATATATTTTTATTAGCAATGTAACCTATAATTTAAGTACTTTGACTTCCAAGACTATAATTATGTAGAAGGAGAAGTATTAATTAAGCTTAACTAACTTGTAATTAATATTTTAATAGGATAACATTATCTTTTTATTGCATAAATGCAAAATTATGGTTTTTATAGTGCTTAATTTTTCTGCTTGTATAAAAAATTCGGCAGCTCTTGAAAATTAGAAAAGCTGGTTACTTTGATGTCAAATATTGCATTAATTTATTTTAAGTATTTTTCCAATATTTAATGGTTCAGACTGCCCAGAGTGGAGACTGGAGACTAAAGTGCCAGCTTTTAAGTGATGAGAGAAGTTAACGTGCAGAGATCAATTTATAGATGTTCGTTAATAATTTTTTAA